AAAAAAAAAAAGGATTAAGCGAGTAAAAATTTCTTAAAACTTGCTACATCGGCTACTTTACTAATTTGTACTTATCTTTTCTGAAAGTCTTTTTTGTTCTAAGATCATCCGTAGGTCTATACGAGTGGTGTTAGTTGTTGATTCTGATGCTTTAGAAGACAATCTTTTGATTTAAAACATTTGTCAGTCATTAATATGATAGTTAATCCAACTTATTCAATAGATCTTTAATTCGGAAGGCAAATATATAGTGTTTCCGACATCAAATGTGTGAGAAATGTGTGTGATTTTCAACAACTAAGTACCTAATAATTCAAAACATGAAGTAGTATAGGATTATTATCAAATACATGAAGCCTCTCTTTGTTCCTTAACATGAAGTATATGATAATTCAAAACATTTACTAATAGTTTAGAGACATAGTTTAAATAAACATGTTTGAGTCAACAATAGTTAGGTGCCCAGGTGCTTGAAAGAGTTGAGGACCAAATGTCTGACTTCCATAGGACTTGAACTTAGCCATAGTCTGTTTTAAAGAGTCTATAGGAAAGCAAAATCGTCAAGAAACGAACTAGTACAGTCAAGCCTTTCTATAACAGCATCGCTATATAACAGTCATTCACTATAAAAGTAAAATCTTTTATCAAACCAATTTTCATACTATGTTATAATATATGTTCTCTATAACAACACTTCACTATAACAACCAAAAAAATCTGAAACAAATGAGGTTGTTATAGAGAGATTTGCCTGTAGTATCATTTCAACGAACATCAATGATAAGTGCAAATTTCATGTCTCATTTCTCCCACCAATTCGTGAGATATATTTAGTACTACTCCTCTTGATCCTCTTAAAACTTTCTGAAAGCATTTTGGTGACTGAGACATGATGTCAATTCTGTCTGATAGAAACGGTAAGTCTTTAGACAGGACATTTGCACAATGAGATAAATCGCATACCACTGTAGTTAAAATGACAAGTAACACAAGAAAATTCACAGGACTAACAAGTAACACAAGAAAATTCCAACTGAGATTTAAATATCACTAATACTACTACATGCACAAAATAATGTCAACATCATATCTTCTTGCTTACCCTTCCACTTTTGCTTATATGTATATAACTATATAAGCATATTACAGACATACCAGACTTGTGATTTTAGCTAAATTTTACTCTGTATCTGAAGATCTTGCTTCCACTGGTCTCTTAGAACTCTCCTCAACAACTTATTTGAAGCTGTTCGAGGGAACATCGGGACTATCTTCACGGAGCTCACCTATTTATGGTAAGAAAAGTGGTTATCAGAAATGGTAAGAAAAGTGAAAGACACTCTTTGTTGCCCGGAAGAGTCAAAGACACCCTAAAGAGGAGAGGGTGCGACCTGCAACATTTAATGCAAATAAAAGGGTTTCGAGTGGAGTTGCATTTCCGACTCATCTTCCATAAATTTCCAGGGCAAGAACTAATGCTTCTAGACTAGGACTCATTGAAGAGTTAAAAAGGCATAACATATGGATCTTAGTGTTCTTGTACAATATACCAAATGTCCAAAATTGACAATCTCAGGAACAATCTTTAAACAATGGAAAATGGATCAAGAACCCTAATAATGAAGACTTGCAACAACAAAAAGTTTTGTATCTCCATACTGTATCAATTCTCTTGTAAATTTCTGAGGTCTGTTTACTTTGACAAGAAGTTATTGTTATCTTTCTTTTTTGATTGACAAACGAGAAATGAAACTATTATTTCAAATATTCTTTTCTAGGACTAGGATAGGATAATTCTGTAATCTCTAGTTGAATGTAACCTTATGCTTAAACCTTAGAAAGTACAAACCTTGAATAAAGGATTAAGATTGCTTTGAATGGCTCTTGAGAATCTTTTCTTCAGAGTGTCTGGTGAAACAGTTATCCCCTCTGTGAGAACCACAAATATAGCTAACTGTTCTGGACCACCATTTGGTGGTGCAGCACTGACTGCAGCAGTTTCCAGGACACTGACATCAGCACGATCACAAACACGCTCAATTTCTATTGAACTTGTCTGCAGGTAGAAAAGAAAATTTTAGTTATGTATTGCTTCCAGAATCAATAAAGGCAGTCCATAAAAATTTCAGCTATGTTATAGATTCAAACACTCAAGATAATAAATTTGTGCTTGTTCTGAGTGTCAAGTGCATCAGAGATTATGTGAGCATTCACTGGTGTTATGTGAACAGGACAGTAAGAGCAACTTTATACTATCGCCACTAGCCTGAATAAATCTGAGTGGAAAGGGATATCAGTAGCATATAAGCACACAGACTGGCACACTTGGCAGAAGTTTTGATAGATACTACGGGTATGTTGAAAGGAGCAAATGTAGAGTCAACTACGAGATTGATAGTGGTGGAATGGTAGTGTAGTACCTTTATACCTCCAAGATTCATGGTGTCATCAGCTCTGCCTTGAACAACAAGATAACCTCCAACAGTTCGCTTTAGGATATCACCATGTCTCCTTAGTTGCTGGAAATATAACTGCGGCATCAGTTATAGCAGCAATGACAGTGATCCAATTACTTAAAAGCTACTCAGCAGAGTGCAACTTATCCGATTAAAATATGGAAAAGAAGGCTTGAGTTTTGAGTTTATCATCCACAATTTGTAGTCAACGATCATACTCTATTGTTTGGTCAAAGAACTTGGTCGTCTAAATCAGCAGGAAAAAAAAAAAGGCACAAAGACATTATTCTTTTCATTGGAGAGAGG